CGAAACGCTTATGCCAATTAACCTGTGTTTTGGAGTTTATGCAATGTTTTTTCCCTTATGGTCAAAACCTTGTGGGTGAAATTACTTCCCAAAATAGAACCGAGCATCTTTCATCAAAAGATGTCCCAGAACTTCAAAGACATTAATGAATTAGGCCTCCCAACAACTCCTTCTATAGATAAAAAATAGGGATCATTTCATCCATTGCAGTGACTTGCAGAGACAGTATTTAGGGTAGGAAGGAAGCAAAGGGCATGTTCAGGTAGTGCAGCCTCCAAAGAACCTTTCTAGCCTGCATTCCTCTGGGCAAAATACCTGGTTTGTATTCTGCACTGTGAGAAAAAAAGAAAAGATAGATGGGATCCATTTATTCCATTTGATTTTTAAGAGGGAATTTGGGATACTGAGTGTCATGATGGAGGTATAAAGTGACCAGGATCCTGTGGCTGGGCTGCTGCTTCTCGAGCCAAGGTTTCAGGCCTGAGGTGTGGCTGTACTACAAGAAAGGGAACGTTCCTTAGAGCACCTGATCAATGCAAATCCTTGAAATACCTTGAAATAGAAAAACCAGCACGATAAAATGGTCTGGTTGTATCTGGAAGTAGTCACGTGGGTTCAGATGTGAACTTCCTTGCGCCTTTCTGCTTGACCCAGTAACCTGCTTTGCCTTGGTTTCCGTACTGCTTTTGGTAACTCAAGCGTGCCAGACACATCCTGGGAGAGCCGAGTTACTCGCTCCTCTGTCTGCTTTGGCTCTGGTTTAGGAGCCAAAGGAGCAGTTTGTGTTTGTGCCGACGAGCACATAAGGATTTTACCTGTGGAAGCTTTTCAGAGAGTTGCAGCATCCATGCACTTTAGCAGCCTCATCTGTTTTTCAGCTTTATATCTCAATTACAAAAGTGTAGCCATTGCATTGCCAGAACCAAGTCCTCTGGGAGAGTTATTTTCCCGGGGGAATTGTACCATAGCATCAGATAATGTGTTGATATCTCCATACTGTGTAAAATGTCCTGTGCCTTATCTAAAGCTCTGTTTTCCAGCCTTGATTTGACGTTTTCTACTTGTCTGCCTGGAAGAGAGGATAAGTTTGGGTTCCTTCCTCCCCTTCCTCCACTTTTCCATCTTCTCTCTCATTCTTTTTTCTTTTCTCTTCTGCTGTGATTTAGCTGGGTTCTGTCAAAGTTCTGACAGTAAAGTTTGTGGCAACTTCGAGATCAGACAGGAATCTGATCTTCACGTTCTCTTTTTGAAGCAGACTCATGTGGTACGTTGTAAACTGCCAGGAGCACTTGCTAATTTAGTAGTTAATGACAGTCACAGAGACTGTTTTTCTTGCCCCTGGAGAGGTTTTAGACACAGCTGGGGTAGATTTGCCACTATCAATTATGCACAATTTTAAACAAGAATTGGCCAGCAGGGGCCTCTTTTTTTATGGAGTGCAGAGCGTGAAGAATGGGAAGATGGCAGCTGGTACCTGCCTATGGGGGAGAAGATATATAGGACTCAAGAAAATATGGAAAAGATTAATAGCCTACTATTTTTAAAGTTGCAGTTTCAACTTAAAAGTTTAAATGCTGCAATAAAAGTGGTCCAGTATTTTTCTTAAATCAAGCATATTAACTTTATTGCAAACCTTGCCCTGTGCAGCCACAAGCACATCTGTAGCATCTGTTCCTGGCTCTTGCCTGTCTTTAAAAGCCACCCAGGGGGTCAGGATTTTGCCTTGGATGTAATACTGTGTTCTGATTTCATCCTTAAATGAAGACAAGGTGGGAATGCAATTGGATTTAATGGTGCAGGTCAGCTTCCGTGGGCAATATTTACACAAAATCCACTCCACTAGTGGCAATCCAGAGCAACTCCTGGTAATGAGTGATGAGGACAGGAGTCCACCTAAGTAAGTGGCTCACATCTAGAATGGTCAACATGCAAATCATTCATGCTGGCCAGCCTTGTAAAATAGCTTTGTTTAAGTTACAGGACCAAAAGGTCAGTACCTGTCTGGGGAGGAGCAGTGTCCCTTTATCCTTAGCGCAGTCATATCAGAATTCAAGCACCCAACATGTAGTTTGTTATGGTGCTTTCCTATTTTTTCCATTATAGATGCATTGACTTGGTGACATCAAATCTAAAATATCTATAGCTGGAATGCTAGCTGGCCGGTAGCAAAGCAGCACTGTATTCCTGCTGGCAGGTCCCTGTATGTCCCATTGGCACCCAAAGGTGGGCTCTGAGTGTCCTCACAACAGGACATTTGAGCAGGGGCACAATGAAGGTGTCACCAGCAGTGTTACTTTGCTGGAATGTAATCTCACCAATGTGTCTGAAGGCTGGAATAGGTGAATTCAGTGATTAAAAGCAAGAGCACAGCAGAGGGAGCAGAGCTCTGTCATGAATCACTTGACTTCAGCCCTACACCCAGCGGCTGTGTTGCTTCTCCATGGGAGTTACAGGGATGTGTCCTCAGAGACCTCAGCTGAGAAAGCAGGCTATACCCACAGCACACCAAGCTGGGCCTGCATGCTAACGATTTTGGGTTGTCCACAGGGAGGAATCGACCCTGGGATGCAGGAACTCAAGTTGTCCATACGGCTCTAGCCAGTCCTCCCTGGTTGTGCTCCTGCTGGTTGATGTTATTCACCTGTTGCAGAGCTGAACTAACAGCTTGCCAGCCTGGGACAAGGAGCTGTGCTGGATGCTCATCTCGCAGCCTCATATAGTATCCTTTGATATGAGGCTGTGTTTTCTTGCCTCCTTGTCTACCCGTTCTGATGACATCTGTTTCATATTTTCCCTTGATAGAAGTTGTGACACATTACAACATACAAAGCCGGGCTGATTCCTAAAGCAGCTTTGTGGAGGGTGCATTAATATGAAAACTATTACGCTCTGCGTGCGAAAGGGGCCAAGCGCTGCCTGAATCCAGTTCTCACTGGGAGCTGGTTCAGTTGTTGCTCCAAAACTGGACCGAGGCTGAGGATACAGCCCTGGATCTTCGGAGGATTTCAAGGGGAAAACTGACAGAGATGTCACCTGGACGATTCGAGGTTTGTTACTTGATCATTGTTATAGTAGCTGGAGAAAGGGACAAGATGCTCCTTGAGGAGCTGGAGAAGATGTATTGTATACCCAAGGCTGCAGAGTGTGGGCACATAAACAGCCTTTACTCCCGGGAGTAAGAGCCCTGGGGTCACTTAACAGTCTTTGCCTTATACGTGTCTGCGTCAAAATGATACTGAAGCTTCCTAATTGGGAGTATTTTAAGTCTAGCTGGTAGTTCCATGTGTGCCTTCTCCCTTTATCTTTTCTTCCTGCTTCTGAATGAGTTTAAATTGACAGCCCTGGGGAGTGAGGTTTCCTCTTATCCAGAGGAGATGCTCGGGATGGCAGGGGAAGCATCACCCCTTCTGCGGGAAGGACCCTGAGACTAGGAGCTTGTTGCGCTGTATATTCTGTCTGCACCGTTATACAATACATAGGTGGGAAAAAATCCATATTAACAGAAATGTCTATACTCTCCCACATCTTCCCCCTACACTTTTCTTTAATGATGACACCAGCCTGGCTAATAAGAAGCATCTTGTGTAAAAAAGAAGGCAATCTCAGACAAGGCTTTCAGAGTTCATTTTGTTGGCAGCTTTTAAAGTGGAGTTTTTTTAGGCTCCTCTGTTTCAAACACCGTAATACTTTTTGAGCTAGTAACGATGAATTACGACAAGCTTTCTTGATATGCCAGGTTATAATCCTTTAGTGTTTTTGTTTATTTCAGAATATAATGGGAATCCATATCAATTATCATGACTGTAAATGTTGTTCCTCTCTACTAGAATATTCATCCTGAGATACATCATCAGATGTTACCTGTTCTGACAATCACATTTTTGTGCCATTGTTGGGCAAGAGAAACAAAGAAAAAACAAAATGTTAAGAGTGTAAGGGATAAAAGAGCGTTGAAACTGTTATTCTTTTCCTGTCTTTGGAACCTCCGAGATCTTGAATGTTTTATTCCTGGCTGTTATTTTGTTACCACAATGCGAATGGAAGTCATTATCCGTATGCATTTGAAGAGAGAAATGATTTTCATAACTTTAAATCCTACAAAGGATTCTAGTAATCTGTTGTGTGCATGCCAAGGTAGAGCTCAGCCTTTCATCTGGTCTGATCCCACCCAGTCAGTATAAAATGTTCCTTTGGTGAATGTCTAACGCACGCGGTATCTTCTGAGAGCAGCAGACAAAAGTGGAAAGAGGAAACCTGGCCTTCAAGGCAGCAGCAGAGGAGGGTGCATGATGTGCATTTGCAGCCTTCACGCCTTGTCTGGTTGGTAAAAGTTTATTTCCATGAGGTTTCAAAGGAAACTTTATTCCTTGTTTTGCTTTGGAAGAACTGTAAGAGGTGACCCCTGTGCAGCCCTGCTTTGCTCTGACATTGCAGCCATCTTGCCAACCACCGCGCGACCCTGCCCAGCCCAGGGACTCATGTCACTGCCATGGCACCTGGTGAGAATTTGCACCTTCAAAAAGTCTTGAACTAGAATGTAAAATTAACAGAATGATTGTAATGAGCTGAGAGGGAAGGGCCACTTTGGGACAGGCACGATAGTTTATACAACAGTAAAACGTGACTGGATAGTGACAGGTATTTTCTGGTTCAGCATCCTCGATTCAAATCAGACTCTTGCATAAACTGTAGGAAATAAGTTGGCAAGTCCGACTCCATTCTCAGTAGCAGACCCACACTTTCATGGAAGGGTCTGTATCCCATATGGAAGAGCTCCTGCCTCGGTGAGCTTGGGGGCTAAGTAAGACATAAGGAGAAGCAGCAGGGAACAGAGGTGCCGTGAACGTGCTCATCTTGCCTGGTTCACAGTCTTGAGCAGTACTGTCATTTCCACATCTGTGTGTGCGCCCTTCCTTTAGGGTAAGGATTAACTCATCCTCAAAAGGTCACAAGTGCCATTCTCAGGATGTTAATGATGTTAATTAATACTTTCTCCATAGGGTGTTCTTCTTCAGTCTCCCCTACGAGTCCATCATGGAACGTCTGTCTCAGCGGAGGATTGATCCAGTCACCGGGGAAAGGTTAGCACCGATGTCTCATGTTTGACAATTTTTAAGACTGTCAGTGAGATGAAAGGGGCAGATAGACTTCGCAGAAATCTAAGGAAACTCAGGAATATTGTACTCTTGCTTAGGGATTCCTTAAAAGAAAGGTTAAAAATTTCATAGCTACTCAAGTACCAACCTAGCTGCCTGCTGCAGCAAGGTCCTGGGCTCAGAATAATGCATTTTAAAATCCCTGAGACTGAAACTTATAGAAGCAGTAGCTCAGTTCTTAACATATTAATGGTGACTAAATTGGTTGGTAAAATAATGCTGAGCGAGTATGTCTGAAACCTAGCCTAAATACAGATGGTTCTCACCCATTCCCATAGGAATTTTGAAGGCTTTCTGGCTGAAGAAGTGGGAATTTTGCTGTATTTTATTTCTCCCAGCTCCTGTGGTGGTTCCATGTACTGAGAGACGTTAGCAGGTTTCCTGCTCAGCAGAGCAAACCTGTTTGTGTCCCTGCGAGGTTTGGCTCTCAGATGTGGCATTTCTCTCAGTGGCAGCCACAGCACCTTGTTTCATCAGTGACCTTCGGGTTTATTATCTCCTCCCTTGTTCTCAGGGGAAAAGTTAACAGTGAAATATCTTCCTAAATACCTGGTGGATTTGGTGCTGGGTTTGCAACTTGTGCTTATGGTCTGTTTTTATGATTAATGTAGCAAATAGACACTCTTAAATGTAAAACACTGTTTTAGTATTTCTGGTATTTCAGTGCATCCTATTGAATCAAAGACAAATCAGAGAATCAAAGACAAAACCCTTAAAAATAAAGTCCATAAATATTGGACTCGTGTCAAAGTGGCGCATGATTATTCAGACATTGCGCTCGAGGTGTGATGTTAATTTACAACAAGAGTGATTTGCCCTGTTTTCTTCGTTTTGGTAATAAACGATGTGGTTGTTCAGAAGAAATTACCAGGCCGAGGGAAATCATTCGCACATCTTTGCATTTCTTATCATTAGGATTAGCCTGTTCAGTATCTGCTCCAGTTAGCACGCTTTCTTCTTCCAAAATCTGGGGTTTATTCTTTCCAAAGTCTTTGTGAATTGAATTGTTTTAAATGCTGTATCTAATCCTCAGCATTATGTTAAAGCTGCACCGCTGGCCACGGCGTGGTGCAGAGGGTGCCCTTCAGCTGTGCTCTAAATAATCCTAATGTGCAGTGAGCACGAAGTGCACGGCGTCGTGTCAGCGGGGTCCGTAATGCAGCTCTCTGCAGAGACACCAAAACTTGGTTCCTCTCCTCGGAGCTTTTTTTGTTCTGTTGTTGTTTTTTAATATGTCCCAGCACTCATTCCAACAATTTGGCTTTAGAGGGGGGTAAATTGTTTTTGTGCTAAGGCCCAGGAGATGTTTCAGCAGAAATAGTGTAACTGTGGAAGCAAATTTAAATACTGTTTGCTAAGGAGCTTTCAGCATTTGGAAGCCTTTGACAGTAGAGAAACACTGTCCAAGTACTCCTTGGTGTGAAATTCCCCTGAAATCTCCGATTATTGTTTTGAAACCCACACCTAGAAAGAGGCACTTCCCAGGACCTGGAATAAGCAAAAACATAGGAGTTTCTTAGGCAGTAGCTGCTGTGTCCCAGCTCCCGCTGAAGTGGTGGTGTTTGGATCTCATCTCTAGGTATCACACTACATTCAGACCAGCTCCAGCTCTGAAGATCCAGGCCCGTCTCATGCAGAACCCTAAAGACAAGGAAGAAAATATCGAGAGGCGCCTGGAAGCCTATTACAGAAATGCCAAGGAACTGGAGGAGTTTTATGAAGATGCTTTTTACATCAACGCTGACCAAGACCCTCGAGTTGTCTTTGAGTTTATAGAGAGCTGTATCATTAAACCCCTTCCACGTAAGTCCTGACCTGGGAAAAAAATAATTGTTTGGCCTTGTTTGGCATATGCCATGAAATCACGATTTCAATCGTGAATTGCAGTATGAACAAAAAATGTAAAAGGCTTCCTAAAAACAAGGGTGAATTCTTGAAATCTCTTATGTGAGCAGTTGGTTTTAAACTTTCTTTTGCAGTGTTTGAAGTCCTATCCCTGGCAGGTTTTCAAAAGAGTATAAAATTCAACCAGGCTCTGTCTGGGCTGGGTGAAGTAATAAAAGTTAGAGACCATCCTTCACAGGGGAAATCTGAGTTGGCTTGAGAGCCGAGGTATGAAACCCTGTGGCCACAAAGTTCATATGTTCAATTTACTTATCTTTTTTTTCTGATTTTGTGATTCAGCAATTGGCAGATTTGTCTTGAACATGTAAAACACACATGCAGCTGAGTTGGAATATTAAAATTGTTAGGTGAGTTTGTGTCTCAGTTCACTCCGTACTTTCCATCAAAACCACCCTGGTGCCACCTGTGCACTTCCCTGGGTGCCTGCTGTAACCCAACACACATGTGAGGGCAGTGATGGAGCTCGCAGCTCAGCGCTGCTCTTCCCCAGACCAAGAGCAGTGTTTTGTAGCCACCAGAGGGACATTTTCACTTCGCCTTAGCCCAGCTTGCTCAACGGTCTCACAAAACAGCCAGGCGGGCACTTTGCACCAGCCTTCCCATTGCTCCTAGTCTAACCTCGCAGCTGGGACAGGCTCACAAAAAGACTCAGCACAACTTCAGGTAACACCTCAAACCCCAGAAAACAGCTTGATCATGTTCAGAACCCAATTAAGGGTGAGCGGGGTCACTAAATTGGCTTTTCCTGGGGTGGGAGGTTCTTGGCTTGCGCGGAGCCCCCTGCTCATCTCCTGCTGCCCAGCGGGGCCGGTGCTCCGGGTCGGGCTCCGGGGCAGCCGCGCTGTGCCGGGAGCGCCTCGCCGCAGGGTGCTGACAGCCCGTGCCCTGGCTCAGGCTCTGGCTGGGGAAAGCCACATCCTGAGTCGCTTCTGGCAAAGGGAGTGATTTGTTCTTGTGATAAGAGAACCACTGAGTTTGATGCCTCTATTAGATACTTCCCTTTTGTTTTTCCACTCTCCCCTGTGTATGTAAGGTGATACTGAAAACACTGAGCAGGGACCTGTCCAGGGAACTGGGAGGCGCCTAAACTCTCCCCTCGAAGTCCCTGTGCCTGCTCCTTCCGAAGGCTCCAGCAGCCTTTTTGCTTTCAGAGGACTCCTCTGTTCCTTAATGTGAAGTTTGGTTAAGTTTGTGTCTCTGGCTGTTGCTGATTTTGTGTTTAGATCCCTACGAAGTGCTGCAGGGATGTGCATGCAACATCCCCTTCTCATTCCTGTAAATGCAGGTGAGAAGAGCCTGGCTATACAAACGGCTCCAATGCTGTTATGTTACTTTGGATGTCAGAGTTCAACATCAGACTCCCCCAAACCTTGGAGGGACTCGGGTGGATGGGAATCTGCCTTTCCAGCCTCGAGGATGGCTTTAAAAGCCTTGGAATCTGCAGAGTCCCGTGCGCCTGGTGCGCTGAGGGGCCTGGCCCTGGCACATTTATAACAGTTCTGCTGTTACAAATGTTGGTAACCTACTTGAGCAGCTGGTTTTTGTGCCATTGCTATAAAGATATGGTGTAACACTGGTGCATAATTGGGAGGCCTTCTATTAATAATACATGGGAAGCTCGTCTTGCTAATATCACCTTCATCTGAGTGCTGCTACTAAATATTTTGATAGATGAAATGGGTAGAGAACGTATTTAAATACTGTTTGTACTGCAGCGAGGGTACAAAAGGGACAGCGCATCTTTAATTAGACAGGTACATCTGCTTAATTAATTTAGCTGTAAAGCCCTTTTTTCCTCTTCATTCTTCCATGGATCTGCGGCCGCTCTATTAGTTCTGCTCTGCTGGCTCCATAGGAACTGCGGAGAGGAGGGCGGCTCATTGAGATGCGCCCGGCACGTCCGGGTGCCGCGTCCGGGGTCAGTGGTCAACCCCCCAGGGCCCGGAGCGGGGCTGGAGCCGGAGCGGGAGGGTTAGCAGAACATGCTAATACCCGTGTAGAACGCTCCCTCGGAAACGGCTAAAACAATTGACATTCATTTAATTACTGTAAACGAAACAGCCCCTGCATCACTTTGCATAGCAAAGCCTGTTAATACCAGAAAGGTTCAGTGGATAGAAGAAGGAATTAGGCTTTTATAATTGGAATACAACATTTGAAAAGCAATTTGGTAACTGCGCTGGATTTTATTAGCATCTTATTCTGGCAAAACAAATGTTAAGCAATAAGAAAAACAAGGTAAAGAGGAGGTGGTAACAACACAGCAGGGAACAGGCTTTACTTATTTTATAGTGTGCCCAGTTCTGAACTAGACATCTTTTATCACTCTGTTTTCCAAAGACACTTTGCAGAGAGGGCTGCTTGGAGGTTGTGTTATACCCTATATATTCTGCTGTTAATTATGTTGTTCAGCAACAAGATTAGCCTGTCCAGTTGCTCCACAAGATTTCGTGTCCGCCTGCTCCAAACAACAGATCCTTTGAGGCCGTTCGATGACCGCCAGGCAACTCCCCCATCCTCTAGCACCATCTCTGTGGTTCCTGGGCGAATCCCCTTCCTTCCAGTTTGGTTTCTTGCCTCTCCTTGCAGAATTGGGCGCTTCCTGCGTGATGACATCAGCACAAAAGCCTTGAGCGTGGCTGGTTCTACAGCTGCCCATTCCTGAGGCGCTGTGGGGACTGCGGGGCCGCAGGGAACGGAGGGATGTTTTGGGGCAGGATCCTGAGCGTCGGGGCCGCTTCCCGTGTGGGCAGCGGGAGCTGGATCCATCTGAAGTAGTTACAAACTGGGGTCATCACCCTGTAACTCCTCAGCAGGAGCGTTCTCAAAAATAGAATCAGAAAGGTAATTTTTGCCCTGTTTGCATGTTGTTACTTGATACAGAAAAGTTGTGATTTTTTTTTCCCGCTTTATAAGCAGGTTCTCCTTGATGCTCTCCTCTTTTCTGTAACAAGAACAGTTTGATTCTACGGAAGAAAAGGAGGTGAATCCAAAAGCTGCTAGTCCAGGTTTGCTGGAGCCGGAGTGCGGCCGCTCAGGGCCTTGGGAGGCCGGGGCAGAGGGTGAAACTGCGCTGGGGAGGAGAGGGGCAGGTCGTTAGGAGCCCACGTCCTCCCATGGGCTTTACCCACTGTTGTGTGACAGTGGCCTGTGAACTACAGACACTCTGATACTGTGCTGTAGAGATATTTACTGATAGCAACCAGCATTGTAGAGACAGGAAAGACCTGGTACAAGTGACTTAACATGACCAGAGTGTTGCTTCCCTCACCAGATGCACAGGATCCAAACGTCCGGGCAGGTGGGACACGACAGCTGTGAGCAGAGTCTGATGTCTGCTCAGTCAAGGAGTCACCTGGCTCAGGGAGACCAGGCCCGTGTTTCTGCTCAGAGGGTCTCTCTCCCTTGAAAGTCGCTTCCTCAGATCTGTAGAATGACTAAGACTTTCTTTCTTCCTCTCTCATATAACGAAAGATTGAAAGGAAGGGTTCCATTTTTATCTGCGTTGGTCAGCTTAGGCTAAAAGTCATTTATCCTTTTACAGATGAGCTACAGGGTTATTACCATAGGAAGAGATCTAGTAAGTGGAACAGAAGAGCTGCCTCTCTGCAGTCACTGCGCAGTGTCCATCTCTTCACCTTTACCATATCCTCATAAGTCAAGTTTTTCAAATGTCACAAATGTCATTGAAAAATGTGACTTTTTAGAAGGCATTTAGTCATGTTTGTGGCTCTGCGTCATCCTTGTTAGATCTCTTTGCATTATTGAGGTGAGTGTGGAGTGTTTGTGAAGAGGGAAGCTTGCTTTATGCCAAGGAACCAAGTGCTTTAACTACATCACTCTCCTGCCAGGCTTGGATGCGGGCACTCCCGTGCCTCCCAGGAATTCAGCCCCTTAAAATACACACATTACAAATGAGCATTTTATTTATTTATTTAGAATAAAAAAGGAGCAGGATTACAATGCTACTGTCGCAGTATACAAAACATTCATCCAAGTTTGCTTCACATTTACAAAAGGTGCTATATACACAGCATCAGTATTCACAGCAGCTTTGTCAGCCCCTCCCATGAACCAGGCCTCCAAGGAGTCCAGAAACCAAAGTCTAAAACCCAAATTTGCTTCCTGGAGGCCTGGGGACCATGAGGCCTGCCAGCTACAGCACTTGCACTCCATGATGGAATAAAAATGCATGAAGAGATCAATTAGATTAGCAGAGCAATTAAACAAAACTCTTCTCTGGGCAGGTCCAGTTGGGCGGCTCTCAGGTTTCCCTGTTCAGGGCTGGGCTCCAGGTTAGTGTTCAGAAGGCTGCAGGGCTGCCGTGCCGGGGCCTCCTGCGCAGGCTTCACCAGTGCGTGAATCCTCCCGGGATGAAGAAACTCCTCCTGGAACATTCCTGTTCTGCTGGAGTCACTGAAGCCCAGGACAGCACAGGGAATCACTCTGCCTTGTCCTGAACCGGAGTGCCGTTAACGTGACTATGAACACAGTCCTGTCCAGTCACTCGTGTTCAGCTGTGACACTCGTGAGGCCACTCGACTGCCAGGGCTTACGGATGGCAAAACATGAGGAGTTCCAGGTCTTGAGTGAAGACTGCTTAAAAACAGAGTTAGCACTAATAAAAAAGGTGATGGAATGAAAACATTCCGCATGACACCAAGTGCCTGAGAACATCTCCAGTGTAAGATATTAGTATATATGTTGCATTGTTTGAAGCTGAGTATAGCTAAGGATTAATATAGATTGTAATTCAAGGAAAATGTACCTCCTCCATTAGACATGAAGACAGCTGCTCTGCAGGCTTTGCTATACATACATGCTAATTTCTATGAATTGTGGAAAAACTATCCTGGATTGTGACCCCCATCATCCACCTTGCTCAGCTAGGGCTCCTGCATCTTCAGAC